TGTTAATTTCTTGCAGTGGAATTGATTTCCACCCACCATTCCTAGGTTTCCATTATGGGAAGCATGAGAAGTCCCCTGGAACCTCTCCACTCTGGATTGCTCTGTCCCACAGTATACCCAGCCAAACTAAAGATACCAGTGTTTGCAATCAGACTCCCATCAAGTTTCCTAGGATCGTGCCTTGGCCTCCATCCTCCCCAAAAAAGAAACCCACACACAAGCACCTGTAGAACCAGGAATATAACCACTGCCGGAGACAGTCAGACCCAAAGCCAGTCTACTGCAGTGTCTTTCTCTGACAGGGGCTGGAATCAGATGCTTCAGAAGGAGGTACAAGAACTCATCAGTAGGCAGATGAGGGATAGTCTGCCCTCAACAATAGTTCTCATCTTGATCTATGACCCGGTGCACGAAGCTGAACATCCCTCCTGAACTGGTTGTTATCACTACTTCTGATAAATCCTGGATATCCTCATTATCCATGAGAAAGGTCCTTTACTGAATCTTGTTGAATTCCTTCCTTGTCTCCACAGGGAATTGAGTGTGCAGTAAGATAGGCAATCAATTTACAGTGCACCTAGTTACTTCATACTAGTTCCCCCCACAGATATCCAGTGCCAACTATGAGAGCAGACCCAGAAAGCATTTACACTAGTACTACTAGTTACAAAGTTATCCAGAAGGGACAGACAACCAACTCTCTAAGGTACCTGTAGGCACTATTACAGCACATGGCCAATGGGTGGTGGGGAGAGCTTGTAACAGACTGCCTTGGGCAAACCGTTATCCCTGAATGAACTGGAAAAGCTTCAGGCTTCCCCCAGAGCGGGGATGACTGACACCACTGTATGAGCTGTGCCTGTTCAATGTGTGCATAGGGGCAAAGGCAGATTGCACCATGTCGCACATCCATGCCTTACCAGATGCCATGCCTGGAGCTAGTACACTGTAAACTCACCCCTCACTTCCTGCATAGTAATTCTTCCCTGCAGCCCAGCTCTCCCTGTGACAATGAGTCCCACATTTGAACTGCACATTTTGGAAATTTCCATTTCTTTTTGTCACATACGAATGCTCCCCTTTTTAATTTAATGGAGCAAGCCCTTGTGCTTGCATTATGCTGGGTATGAGGCCAAAATCCATTTACAGGCGCAGCAACAGCCACTAATCAAGGGCAGCACGTCAGCCCCTCTCTGGCTAGTCAGCACACTCATCCCTGGCAACGCAGGCTTCCATCTGCAGTCCAACGAGACGCAGGCAGGAGTGTCACTGTGACGCTGGCTGGCTACATCAGGCAGTTCACCGAGTTTGACTTGTCGCGGCTTGGCTGTGTTTGTGACACTGCTGAAGGCGTCCGTTTCCAGGCTGCTCTGCGATGCATCACAGCACGCCTGGCTGTGGCACACCTTGCTGAACTGTCAGCATATCCTTGATGAACTTTAGAGCTTGAGTTACATAGTCATGGGGAAATCATGACCTCTGCTTTTCACAGTGCATTGGCAAAAATAGAGCAGGTGGCTCTTGAAATGACATTTTTTTGCTAGCCAGGTAAATGAGAGAGAAATATATAGGTCATGAGCCCTTGGGGCTGGGACCTGATAGAGCATTAGGTACCTACACACAGGCAAGCTCAGCAGAGTCTTGGCCCCTGGCCAGCCCCCAGGCACTATAACAATCAAGCCCGCAAGTTCTTTGTGCGATGCACGATGGGCCCAGGCACTATCGAAACTAATGAGTCATTGGTTTTCCTTCTGTAGTGGGCATATGGGAGCTTACACACTGGTGAATACGGTGCCATCCTGAGAAGCAAGTCTGATTAATGATCCACGTTCTACAGATCCTGTGCAGGCCAGGCATCGTGGAGAGTGGTGAGCAGGCTGCAGGGCAATGGGGTACTGCCTAAACGCACAAGGTCTAAGGATACAGACCATGAGCTGTAGGGAGAACTTTTTGCCAGCTTCAAGCTCTGGTCCCAGAACAACCTTCTGAAGGTTTCCCCCAATGGGCCAGGACTGCCCAGCTAGAGGCTCGCTACACAGCTCATGCCCCAGCACTTGGGTGCAGAGCTCAGGTGCTGCCCACTGCAGGCTCCCACCCCCAGCGCTGTGACCTGGCTCCTCACCTCCACTGCCTGGGCCTGCTTCAAGCCATTACATAAGCTTTCCAGGGCTGTTCAGCATTTCAGCATCCCACTCAGGATGGGGGCAGGGGGGAAGCTTTGGGGTCATAAATATTAAATAATGGAAAGAAGCCAGCAAGAGGAAAAGCGCCTGCTCCCAGGCTGGAATCCAGGGCAAAAGAGGCTGCCCTCAGCTCATCCCATGTGCAGCAGTACAATGGTGACGAAGGCAACCAGACCCCACTGTGGGGACCACTGCCAGAACAGCCCCATCCCAAGACCCCCCTTAAGAAGCAACCAGGATATCCCAGCCAAACACTTGCAGCCCTCTATCCCTGCCAGGCAAGCATCTCCCAGCGTCCTTCCTGCAGCAGCTGCACCAAGCTCCCTCTGCAGCTGATAGGCCGCTCTGCACCCACCGCCCTGCTGCAGCAGCTGAGGGGACACCCTCTGCAGAGACGCTCCTGTGACCCATGGAGCTGCCTTAGGAAGCAGATGAGACAGTCGGGGAACCACCCCCCTCCAAGCCCAGCAGCCTCGGGGAGGCCCCTCTGCCCCGGACAGCATCACCGCAGGACCTCCCTGAAGCGTGTCTCCCCCAAAAGCAGCCCCTTTCACACCGCAGCAGCTGGGAGCCCCCCCCAAACACACACCTCCCCCAAAAAGTGCCATTGAGCAGCCAGGAGGCTGAGGCACTTCCCCTTCCCCTGTAACCAGGGCACCTGCTGGGGATCCCCACCCCCAGCCTCGGGCAGCAGCTGGGACCTCTGCCCAACAGGACATCTAGAATCCCCTCAAGGGCAGCAGCTGGG